CCAAGATTTTTAGCTTTTGGTATTACTTATTGGTACATGTTCATGAGCACCTACCTTACTTAAAGGACTCAACATACCAGAAGACTTCACAAACGTAGCAGTAATCACACTGATATCAATGTAAAATGTTTTTCCTTTTAAAACATTGACAACTCTTCACTGGCTAAAGGCGCACTTTTCACAGTATACTGCATCGCTGGAATTAGTAAATTCTACCAGAAAACTGCGAACTAATGCTACATGTTTCTTGGAGCACTTGGTATGAAAAGATCAGAATCCCCAAGGCCAACAGCCTTTCCTCTTGGAACATCACAGCACTTCCTCTTGAGCTATTTTCCCATATGATATTCAAATCATCTAAAGACTTTGATCTAATGGTTTCTGCATCCTATCAAAGAAAGTGATTGAATTTGATCAACATTTCAGGACTTCTGGTTATCAATATGCCTTCATTGCAAGGTAAGCTTCATGGGTTAATTTACAAGAGTCAGTGTGTCAATGTTCGGACACTGCTCCCTGAAAACTCCACGAAACATCTCGTGTTACGATACAGAGGTCAATAAGTTAAATGAATAATTGCTTGAATGTGTTACTTATAAATATTGACGACAATTTGAAACATTCTCCATAAACAGTGCAATCAATATATCAATCAAAAATGACAAACTTCTTTTGCTTTCGGAGAAATCAGTGATCTCCATTTCCTGTTCAACCAATTTATAAGGTCATATAGTCGGAGATCTTCTCTTCAGTGTCACAACACCATCATTAATTAACTGGAACAACTTAAAACTGGTCACAGTCTCCACCTTGACACAGTGTTACATGCACCTGTGCAGAAGTGCCCACATGTCCACCATCACACTAAATTTCTCACTGAAAATCGCCAGGTTGTGTGCTTTTACAAAAAAATCCTAAGAGTTACCATGCAGCAGAAAACCTGTCTGTTAGCGCCAGTGTAAATACATATTTGCATTCTCCGGCTGATTTAACTCCTGGAGCTTTCTAAAGAACTTGGGCACAAGTTGCCTATGAAATCCTAGGGGATAATGTACAATAGGAAGGAGAGACATAGCTTTCAGCATCCATTAGGACTGTACACTGTATGATATATATCTGTTAACAATAGCAGTGTCGACAGTGGAACATGGACAGACAGTCACCATCAGAGAAGTGCCATAGGTCTTCTCACAGAAAACAAAACTGTGCATAATGTTTCAGTGAGTAGAAGATTAATTATATGACACTGTATTCTATCCTTGTATTCATGGTTTAGAAATGCTTTTATGGAAAGATAATGAAAAGATAAGGGAATATGATTAGACACTTTTGTCAATAATCCACCTACGAAAGGGTCATTTTCTTACAATACAGATAGAGGTTAATGCAACCTTGATTGCCATAATATTTTTTCTGAATGTGAGAAGCAAAGAAAAAGGAATCATTCAAAATCAGAAAAGGGGAAAAATCTTCAGAATCTGATATTTAAACACAATGTATCTGCCAAACTGTTCAACATATGAGGTACCGTCACGTGAGATCAGAAGATGCCTTATGCTGAAACAAAAGGTTCCAATAACACAACAACAAAGTGAGCCATGATATAACTTCAAAATCAGGCGCAATTGGCATTTCTCCCCACAAAAGAACCATTGAGCTTGTGCCCATTTATTTCTCCAATAATAATACAAAATCCCTACTGGGATCAGACTGCAGCATTTGCATGTGGTTTCTTATTACTCTAACCTAAGGTTCCTGGAAAATCTGACAAGGCTTCTTTCTAAGAAAATTCTCCAAGGAGCAACCTTGTATATATATATAGAGGTTCTCTGCTACCTGTATTCTTCTTACCACATGATTGTTCTCAAAATTATACACTAGTGGGCTCTCCCCTTCACTCCCCCCTCCCTCCAACATTTGCATGATGTGCTGTCAGCCAATCAAATCCAAATATCTGGAATGCTGGGCATCAAATCAGATCTTAGGCATTGGGTCACATGTTATTGATTGGCCAACGCTCGGCACATTTAGGTCACACAGTGATCTGCACTGTACCATGGGAAACCAATTAATAATTTCATTACAATAATCAAAAACATCAAAATGACATTTAGAGAAAAAGTAAAAAAGAACAAATAAAGGAAATGTTTATGTGAAATATTATCAAGTATTCTAAATTCATTTTCTATGTGTAACATAGTAATAATCAAATTGTGTGTCAAGTATACTATGGACTTCTTATTGCATAATATTCAAGGGTGGTAGGGCTGATGTTGCATGCATGCCATTAAGACTTAGACCGCGTTTAGATTCACACATCGTACAAGCTGGATCGGTCCAACCCTGCAGAGGATTCTCACTAAAGTGCATTCAGTTTAATCAGCTTAATTGTATGACACGCCTCCTTGAGTAGCTAGTTAATTGGTTAATTACTCCTTAGCAATTTGAGGAGGCGTGTCAGATTTTTAAGTCGATGACAGTGATTGCACTTAGGGAGAATCTCCCACAGAGTTGGATCAACCCAGCTAGTACAACGAGTTAAGCTGGACACTCCCTAATTAATTATTGGAGGGATAGAGATAAAGCAAAGAAGAAGGTGGAAACAGATGTTCAGTTGTAAACTCAAGGAATGAAAAACAAGAAATGCAAATGTTTTATATTGAAGAAATAAGACTAAATCCTGCAGGAAAACTGCATTTCATTGATAGAGAAAAAGGACATATTTTGTTTCAATCTCTCTTTGGCATGCTGGCAAGTTATCATCAATCACAGATTCAGTCAGTTAAGAGCATATCTGAAACATCAGTTTTGACCTTTTTTCTTTCAAATCAGATGATCAAAGGCTCCTATTTGGCTGTTAGAATACTACTAGAACTGATCATAAATAAGCCTTATCACAATAGGTTTTAGGTGGTACTCTACTGGGTTCTCGCCTTTGATGTCTTTAAAGTTATACTATTAGGGACCATTCCCACAGATATTTGGATCAATCTATCTCCCTGGAGAGTCTCACTAAATTGCTGTCAACTTGACCGGCTTAAATGTCTGCCACGCCTAGTAAAGCTGTTAGGAGGAAATTATCTTTACCTCTTGGTGATTCGGTAGGCATGACAGACATTTAAGCCTGGTTAGCTGATAGCAATTTCGTGAGACTCCCCAGGGAGTTAGATGGATTGATCTAGGCATGGGAACCCAGTCTTATACTATCTGTATTTTGAAAATTTCCCAAAGTCATATTTTATAAGTCTACTTGATCTACAAAATTACTTTTCTTTCCTAATTCAGACCTCAATAATGATAAAATACCATAAATATAAGTGCCTGATGTCTACATTTCCTTCTGGAATGTACAGAAAGACATGGCTATCTATAAACCAGTCTTCCATCCCAAACGATGAAGACATTAATGAACTGGTGTCGAATCCATTGTGAGTCTTCAATCCACCGACTAGTCTGCAGATTTTGCCACAAGAATGGCATATGAAAGCATCACTGATGGTAGGGATATTGTCTTCTCTCGTGGGCACGCTTGCAGATGTTGAATCTGTCCTCCTTTACTGTCATTGCAGCCTTTTAAACAATGCCCCTCCACTTGTCCTGGCCACCTTCCTCCATTTTCTTCTTCCCTCTGTTGATGTTTGCTCTTTTCATGTCTTCATAAGGTGTCTTTGAAGCGTAGTTTTTGACCACAATGTTTTCCCTTGCCTTTTTCCATTTCTTGTATCATAACCAGTTTAGGAAGGCATGTGTCTTCCACGCCCCGCCTCTGCTTCCATTGCAGTCTAATTAAGTGACTAGCTATCATTTATAAGGACTAATTTTTTGTAATTAGAAACAGCATAAAACATCAAATCCAAGTGCTCAGACAGATAGAGAAATAATTTGTGAGTAGGATCAAGTTGCTTATTTCAAGGAAAATCTGATATTATGGGAGAAATTTTGGACACGGCATCTTTAACAGATGTCAACGTGTTGTTGGCAACCCAGTTTTACATCTAGGTCTTCAAGATCATGCAAGTAGGCTCTCAAAGCAGTTTGCTGTAAAGTTTAATAAATGAAATTTAGATTTTGGACTGCTGAAAATAAATCAAAATTTTGATTCATGTCTAAAATGTCACAACATATAAATTTACTAGGTTAAGCACACACATACACTCAGGCAAACACAGAAGGAAAGTACTAATGCACTCTGCAAAAAATGAATGGCACCCATTCAAGTTAAAAAAAATCATACCAAAATATTAAACTGAAAGGCAACAGGTAGATAAAAGTCATATTTTTTTCATGACATTTAGTGATTTATTCTTAGCATCTTTTTTTAAAGCTTATTTGTGCACGTAACAGATGTCATGATTCAATGATTGCAACTTTTGTGCGGGTATTATGGAGAAATATATAACTTATAATGTTAAGGACTAGCAATTTGATGCTACGAAAAAACATGGTGGTTAATTGGATAAGATAAAATAAATAAATAAATAAATAAATGAATAAATAAATAAATAAGTGACTGCAGCGATGAGAATCTTTTTAAATCAATCCCCTGCATAATGAAAAATACAATATGTGACATATCTGCCACCTTTGTGGGTCACTCTCCACATGTCTCTAGGTACTTCCTAAGTATTCTTTTTTTCTAAACACTGACATGCTATTGAGCACATTGCACATCATTTGAATCATCTGCATATTTGATCTGCATGACTGTCATTGCCAAGAATGCAACTAAAGCCCCTGTTCCATGGGTCCACTGGACTTGGTTTAACCTTTTACTCAAGCTGTCTGATTTCGAACAGCTCACTCTAGGGAGAAAATCCAACACCTCAGTCTACCCGTCTGTGACCTTTGCTACAGAAACAAACCGTGTGCCACAGAATTGGCTCCCTGTGGTGAACCGACTGTAACTGGACTGCGTCCATCCCACAGGACTACAGAAACAAGAGCTGCATATTTTAAGCCAACAGAGGCCCACAAGGACAATCTTTTTTGTAAAAACTCACCATGAAGAGGTGCTGCTCTTGCTGCTTCTGCTGGTGGGACTGGGTTCGGCCTTGGGGTCCACATTAGACACACTGCCCACTCTAGCCACAATTGGCTCTGGCTTCTCTGACGCCTTGCTCTGCATGCGCTGACGACAGAGGTCCTAGTACAGAAGAATAAATATAATAATGTCTACATAAAATGTGCTCCTCGTTGTCATCATATTAAAATTAACCCATGGCTTGAGTTTTTAACTTTGAATTTTTTTTGTTTCTAGACTTTGCCATGAAGAAAGTTACCACAAATTGATGAAACACATTCAGGATCTAGATTCTACCCCAGTATATTAAGCACAGCTAGATCCAGCCTATGACTTTTCCAAGTAGTACAAAATCTCTCAGGTAGGTGTCTGAATGGGAGCTTCTTGCTCTTCTGAATCTGAAAGTTTGAACTATTTATAGTTTTCACTCAAACCTGATAATCAGCAGACGCCTCTGCATTGTCAGGGTTTCCTGCAAGCTCCCTCAGCTTCTTGCGCACATGAGAATGCCGTTGCACGAGATAGATGACAACGACAGTGATGAGAACAATGGCGATAAAGCCACAAAGCACGAACGTCAGAACAAAATCACGGTGGCTGGTGTCAGGGGCAACCTCCACTTGTTGCTGTCAAAAAGGAAAATAAATTAAAAATTATGCAGATGTCTACAATAAATAAGTTTTTTTTTTTTGCTAACAATGAACATGAAGACACAGGTGGAAGGTCTGGGGAAAAAGTGATAAGGTCATGCAGAATGAGGCTGCTTCTAATTGTTCCTGTAATGATTGATAACAAGAAAAAAAAATTTAGTAGAGAAATTAATCTATATTTATAATAACACATATGAAAAGAAAATTCACAATTAAAGGAATTCATTATTCTTCTTGGATATGAAAAAAATCAAATAAAAATATCCTGTAAGGAATAAAAACAATTCTGGCACTATAATTTGTAAAATGATGAAATCTGATATATTTCACTTTATGAAAAACGCCTGATTTACTGAGAACTGATTGAATATATATATTCTTAAAAACATTTTGGTAAAATATAATGCCTTTGAAGCCAAAACCTAATACGCTAAAATGGAACTGAATACAAGTATACTACTTTCAACTTCCCTTGGCATGGAATATGTGTACATGGCCATACTGGTCTAAATAGCTTGTAACTGAATTCTATTTTCTTTTGCGCGCATCAAGGGGAAAATTCAATTTGGTTAGTAAATTTTCTTGATATCAATCTTGTCTTGGTATTGCCCATGCCCATTTGAGGCCAAATGAAATAAAAACTATTTTTCAAACAGGTCTTATTGATTTAACTTGTTATAAAGCAAAAAGATGAATTTTCCCTGAGACTTCTCTCTTTTTTTCTCATGAATACTAAGACCCCATTTTCACAGGCTTTAGATCGATCTATCCCTGTGGGGAGTCTCACTAGATTACTGTCGGCTTAGCCGGCTTAAGCTTCTGTCCCGCCTACTAAAAGCTATTAGTGGGTAATTAACTATGGTGCGCGCTCGGCTGACTGCAATTTAGCATGAACCCCCAGGGAGTTAGGTCGATCTAAATCTAAATCTCTGGATCGATCTAAATCTCTGGGAATGCACCCTAAGGCACATCTCAGCTTATAAAATAAATATCTTATGATTGGTTTACAAGCTAGATCATACAAATAGGGTGGTCTTTTTTTTTCATCTTGAAATCACCCAATTTATGTGCTACAAGTGACATTCATCCTGCAAACTCTGATTGGCTAAAAGCAAAGAGACAACTGCAACTGCTCACAACATTTCCTTTATTTCAGAAAGGAAAGGTTTTATCTCGAGTTCTGGATTTTGTAGTATTCTTATTTGCCGATTGCCCAAAAGGCCAATTTTGTTTCAGATCATGTCCTCCATACAAAACAAGATGTTTTATTATTTCTGCATATTTTGGTGAGACCCCCCTTATAAACACTCTGCTTCGTATGGAAAGAATGTACGTATAACACACACACCCAAGTTTGCATGCACAAACATACACGCACACCCACACTTATTCTTAACCAAGGTTCAAATAATGAACACATTTCAAAATACACACTCCTTCATGCTAGAGTAACCACTCCCATACAATAGGCAATATAGCTTTGAAATCTCTACTCAGCATATATGTCAAATACAACTTACTGGGATTTTTTTTCATTTTTTTTTTTTCAAAATTACACAAAGAACTATTCAAAGTTTTCACACGTTTCCAAGAATGCAAATGTCACTTCATCATATAATGTTACAAGTGAAAAAATATACTCATGTCCAAAAATGAATTGCATGAGATAATCAGCACAGTTCTCTTCAAACTAATTCTAGATGCAAATTATTTTAGATATGTTTTATAAATGATGAAATGACAAAATCTAAAAAATATACCCATGGTAGCATATGACCTAACTGGGCAATACAAGTCCCAATTGCAAAAAGCATGGTAATTAACATACCTACATACAGTACGTATAGTAACAAGTAGCCGCTACAGAGCCACTTAATACTTTGACCTGCACAAAAAAATGGGAGAGCGATCGATCTATGAACAACTTTTGTCATCAGAGATTCCCAGACTAGTCCTTCTGTTGATGCAAGTTAGATCCCTTTTTCAGCCTCAAGTTGCAACCTGTATGAGCAGATCTTACGTGTACATTAAAAGTGACCACAGGGCACCATCAAAGTACAGTATTTAGGAACCTTCTGCAGGAGAAGAAAAAAATGCACAATTGAACAATGAGCACATTTTGCTTTTCCAATTCCCACCATTAGTTGTGAGGTATTTTTGTAACAGATAATATATTTGGGAGAAATCAGACATTTTGTACATGACATCATTTTCTATATCCAGCTGGGCTATTTTATATTTTTACACAGATGAAGGGAAATACAGGCAATTCAACCCAATATCTTACACAGACTGCTTTATTATGTTACTTCTGTGCACAGCAGAAATGTCTATGTAAAAAGCCTACAAAGGAACCAAAATCATACGTCTGCTCATTAATAAAAGCTCATTTGAAGGCATCATATTAGACGATTACCAAAATTACTAGGCACACAAAGGTCATATTGAAGCATTTTGCTTCTGAACAGTGCTGAACCCAAGAGAAAGACTTGGTGAACATCATTACCAGAGAAAATGAACTTTTACAGATTTATGAAGAAAATCATCTGTAATAAAAGTTCAATTATGTTGAAACAGCATATGAAAGGGATGGAAATTAAGCAAGAAAGGGCAATTTCCTACTGATAATACTGCTTTAGATGTTATCCTTCAAGAGGATTTGATTTTTTCCCTCCAATATTCCATACCAATCAGAGTTAGTGACTGAAAGTTCACTAGGGTTTCTCATATGGAGAAAAGAAATGAAAGATCAAAAAATGTCATTTTCAATTAATTCCTTGCTAAGGCTTTTTCATCTTTATTATCGAAACCAAGAGCTTGCAACTTTAACTTGAGGACATTTATCAAGTATCAAAGCATTTTTAATCTGTTATTTTGGTTGAAATATCGAGACCTTTCATTAAAAACTGCTACCTTTACAACTAAAATATTTTTTCAATATTCTGTTCTTTGATCAATCCAGGGCCTTAAAAAGTGTTTCAGTACCAAGTCCTACAGTAGTATATAGTTTAATTTGAAAACTTTGGCATTAAAGAAGCATATGGGTCAATTTGCTAAGGAGCCCGTGCTACATGTATTTACATGTAATCGCCCATTGGTCATTGCATTGCAATGCCCACTTAACTCAGAACGATCACATATAGTGGATGACACAGCTCTAAAATGAATTAAGGTTACCATAATGACTCGACCTTTTTAATGGGGAAAGATTGTGAATATTACAGATGCTGCATTTTTTAAAGTCACAAATTTTGAAATAAGAACATTCCTGGTAAGTGGAAACAACCAAATTGAAAATTAAGCTGGTTTTTGGTTCTATTTCATACAGTGAAAGCACTAAATGTTCTACAGAATATAATTTAAATGATTTCAAAATTATGTATCCGGAAGGTTGATAATTTTTCCCCATCGAAAAGATTGCATTTTTACCATAAACATCTACCTAATTACTAAAACCAAAACTGACTTTTTGTTAAAACCTATAACAAAATATACGGACTCTGTAAATATACAAACCAATATATCTTCGGCCAATGTAATTGCCATAGGATTATAGACCTAGAGAAATTCATGCATCTTAGTTTTAAGCTCCTCATCGTTTTTTTTTTTTTTTTTGGATAAATTTTTGGGACAAAAAATCCTTCATTAGATCTAGGTTTTAAGAACATTCAACAAAAGAAAACAGTCTATCACACACGATAAAAAAATGTATATACATGTATATGTACTAGCTCACCTTTAAAATATAATTTTCCTGAAACAAAATCTATCCTTTCCTCCACTGAGCACATCTCTTGCTCATTTCGAACCTAAAAGATGCACTTTATCTCTCTCCAAGACTTATCTACCAACATCAAAAGACATTATCTCTTTTAATGTCCGTTCATCTTGAATGAAACATTATATTTGCCATACAATCTTCATAATGGGTAATCATTGTGATCACTGACAGCTAGTGCTTCTTCCACATATCCGTCATGCAATTGGGACTAACTTTAAACTGCAAGACAATTCAATCTTCCGTGCAAAGCAGAAGAAGACAATCGAGATCAAAGAAATCTGTGAAGTAGTTACACTTAATTGCATCAGTTTCTCATATTTCAGTAAAAAAGAAGTCAATTTGCTAGGCACCAGTCACCGTCAAGATGAGCCCGAAGCCTTATGGGTTACCATTTCTCCCTGCATGCCCTGCAAGAGTTTCGTTAACTACTGTCAATAATGACTCAAACTGTTCAGTGGGGAAAATTGTGAATTTTACAGATACTGTACTTTTTTTAAGTCACACATTTTAAAAATTAGAAGACTCCTATTGAACGGTAGCAACAAAAATGAAAAGCAGGCTACCTTAAGAGTTTTATTTTATTCAGAAAAAGCACCACAGATGCTGTACAGAAATATATTTCTAATGATTCCAAATTAATGCAACTGAAATATTGGTAATTTTTTTCCCATTGAAAAGATTCGAGTCATCACCATACCTGCAAATTCAGTATGTTATATACTAAAAAGTCTCTCTTCTAGCCTGATTTAACCCTCTAACAGTTGTCCCTTTGATCTTGCCAGTAATAAATTTATTCAAAATAAGCTGTAGCTAGTATGTTTTCATTCTGATCAAGGGTTTAAGCTTTCAGCAAAGATGTATCTCTTCTTTGCTACATACTTTGATGTCTTGCAGGAAAGTGTCTATGATAAGCAGTAGATGTAGTGTCTGAAGTCTTCCGAGAAAAAATGATAAATATGTACCACTATGTTCTTTGCTGTTTTTCTAAATATCTTTTCTGGAATTATATACACATATGAGAACTTAAAGCAAGACTATTATGATTGTGTTTGAAGTCTAAATAAAAAATTACCGCACAGCTGATACTTCACATATGAGCCTCAGAAAAATCCCAGGTAATGATGGCACTCATTATATTACCATCATGTACACTGTTCATTAACCCAAACAGTGCTCAATACTTAATGGCAGCCATTTCTACCATCAAATAATACCACGCTGCATTAATAACTTATTTGAAATGTAATGGGGCAGGTACAAATCACAACTGATACAATATAAAAATGAAACAATTTAACATTAAAATAATAAAAAAAATACTTTTTTTGATTCCTGCCTTCAATTCAACAGTGAAAATAAGTGCTCACTGACAATGGTTACATCTGGTTAATCAATGGTTAATCATCTTCATCATCATCATCATCATCATCATCATCAAAACAATAATAATAATAAATATTTAATATTGCCCATGATAAATCTGAAAGTTATCTTTTGACATCACCTAGCACAAATCTTATATAAATGACTGACAGCTAGGAAAAAAGATCCCGTAAAAGTCTGAATAATTTTTTTTTTTTTTTTTTTTTGAAAATTCTGTTTCAAGAACTGAAAATATTCATGCCGATATACTTATGTTAATATTGAAAGAACTGTTTCCAAAATCGAAAAGAATGTGGATGTTATGCCTGATATATTGAACTCTTTTAACTTCTTCCCAGCAAATGTTCACTTTTTAACTTTTAGAGGAAACAATTTCTTAAAAAGCTTTTATCCAACTTCCACATCTACTTTTAATAGTAAATCATACTACTATTAATTTTACCAATTGCTCTCAATTTTTCACTTTATTTTTGCCAGTTTTATTAATTCTTTCATCTTTTTAAAATAGGAAATGGTAAAACAATTTCTGTTTTATGTGCATTTTATAATTATTAATATACAATGGTTGAATAAACTATATTATTATTATTATTATTATCATTATTATTATTAGTAAGATCTAGGTCACTAAAATAAGCTTCTATTCAATCTGATATCTATGAAACAGATGTCACATGTAGATAAACGACCTGGTGAAATCTGTCAGGTAATATGACACATTTTCCATAAAAATTTTAACTTCAATTCTTTTCATTTGTTATAAATATGAAATTTAGTTAACTTAACATCTAAACAAAATAAAGATTGTAAATGCACACCATCGAATAGAATTTCCAAGATGGCTGCTGCGCAAGGCTGTCTGCTGTCAAAGCTTCATTAAGCAATCGATCCGATCTCCATCAAAGAGCACAGGTAAAAAAAAGACATAAAAAAGTAATTTCCGCCAAGAATCCCAAGAAATTCCAGAGAATAAATGCCTCTCTTCCTGCTCAAAGGTCTCAAAACCATCAACCTCTTTGTGGGGTTGAAAAATCGAATTAAAAAGCCCGTCAACCAAAATGATACCAATGAAAAGAGAGGAAATTTCACACTGATGCCCATAACAAAAACATAGCAATAATGAGCACGCATTGGGAATATGAAAATGCATGCAATTTTTCCAACTGATATAAGGCTCTGAAAGATAAGAATAATAGGATCAGATCTGGCCTGCATCCTGTAACTCCACTGAACCCTGAAATAGTATGAGTTTAATGACCTTTTGGTGATATATATTTATCATCTGCATACATTTGGTTCAATTTGTATTTTTACCAATGTCACCTCTAGATAATATTGACTAGATCAAATGCCTCAGAATTTGCCTACAAAATGGATATTATCCTTTCTAAATAATTTTTAATCTACAGCATTAGCCTTTTTTCAACATTTGTGTGCTTTTCATAAATAAAAAAGGAATCTACTAGTATTCACCACTTTTCCATGTAACAAGCAAGGTTTCATTTCTTGAAATATATTAATCTAAAAGAGGGAAAGGATATTGATGCCTGTATAATTAATCTTTTTCAGACAGTTTCTTTGAAGTCGGTAGTGGAAGTTGTACAAAGTTAGCAAAGCCAGCAATATGCCATGCCGTACACCACGTTACCATAGGCATGCGACCAAGCGTAGATTTCCCATTTCCATTTCTAATTGAAATCTTTCCACTTGAGAAATGAACGCTGTATTATGGTGCCTCAGATCCATCATGTTCATACGGAGGAAAAAACCCACAGTCAGGAAATATTGCATGTTTGACATTTATTGGTTTAAGGCGAGTCATTACCTCTGATTGTTGGGGGCCAAGCATGCAGTCAGGTTAGAGACACAGAAATAAAAGGCAAGGCGCATCACAATGCATGAGTGAGGGCTGCAAAAAACTGAATATCCTGAAGACGTAGCTTACAATTTCTCATTGAATTATATGTAAGACCATATGTTACAAACAATCAAAATAAAGACTGAAATCCCTGAAATCCTGAAATCAGAGCATAATCCTGAAAACTTAAAAGCCATGCATGACAACCAGCTCTTGTGTCTACTATACCAAATGATGCAGGTCAGAGCTAAACTACTATACAATTTAATGGACATGTAAAGTCTTCACTGCCACATTAATGATGTACGTGTAGGTCATCCCTATAGTACTGTACAAATACCGCTATGTGCAAATAATTAACAGGCGTAGTTTTTGTGTACTGGTACTTTTTATGTTACAGGCTTGAATTCTCAAATTAATTTTCAGAGATATTCCTTCTCTGTTATTTCTTTCTGTGATGAATGACATACGCGCAGCACGTGCGTATACAAACACACACACACACACACACTTTTGAGACATTTTAAACTGGCAACCTGCTGCACCAACAACATTGTCATTCTTTGTATGATGGGTATAATAAGTTCTAACATAGTAACTGTAACATTAAACTTTAAAACACTTCAAAAATGTGCACAGCCACACAATTTCTCAAGAAATTTTTCCAAAGAAAGAGAGAGACGGCTTGAATATATGTACAACCTTTAGCTAGTTGATTGTATCTACCAGCCCATATCTACAACTGAAATGGGTTCTCAATTCAAGGTAGCCATGAGAGACTATTTTCCATATGCCTTTCACAATGAAGAGGTGCATGCAATATTAAATGACAGGTGATATTCCCAATGGCAGACAATCAGTCTTATTAACCCCACGGTGGAGACAAAATCAAAGGCAGAGTGTCAACTTTTCCTCTTTAATTAACTTGACTCGAGTGTTTCATTCTTACATGAAAGGTCAAAAGTTCACTGTTAAATGTCATTCATGATGCACGTTGTATTCCCCTGCCAAGTGTCATAAAAGACAAATCAAAACCTTCGCTTCCCTTGGTGAGGATACAACACTATGCTTTGCAGAAAAGAAAAAAAAATTTTTTTTCATGGCAATCATGTAGGGTTTCAAACAATAATGACAAAAATATTCCCTTGCTAAACATGAAAAGATATATTTCAATAACAACTTTTTTCCAACGAAGCGGTACACCACATCATAAAATCTTGGCAGTCTCAGAGGATTTATTTAATCTCAAACCCCGCGTCTGCACGTGGAGGCAGGTAATAATGAGACACTCGTTTCCTATGCTTGGCATTATAAATCTTATAGACAATAACATCAATTCCTTTCCATTTGCTTGCCAGGTTTTGGGGCAGTCTCTAATGATGGGAAGTGAGAACTAAACTCTGTCGATCGATAATGCTTTTGTGATGGAGTTGTTACTTTTTTCCACCACCCCTTTCCTGTAGTATAAGAAAAACCAACAATGTTCCAACATGCAAACTTTTATGCACTAGCTTTTGAGGAACTTAAAATATCTTTTTTTTTTTTTTTTTGCAGCATTAAATATCACAAAAACACAAAAGATGAAATTACTGTCATATGATAAACTTCATTTGGGGCAGACCTCTGAAATTTTATCTTCAAGTTTCTTTTTTGTTAGCTGAAATATGGAGGAGGTCTTAATTGGTTACAACGAATCTGTCAGCCACACAAAGATTCAATTGCAACCGATTGTTGGAGTGGTTTGTCTTCTTTGCAAATCAAAATTCACACTTTTTACAATGTGATGCATCAAAAATGACATTGCATACATGCGGAGACAAAAATTGCTGAAATCAATTCAAAACAAGTTTGTTATGTAATAAATCTTATGAATATTTTGACAAAGATATTCATTTAAGCAGCACCTTTTAAAGAAATCAGCATATCAAAAAAGCATTCAACATTGAACTTTCTCCCCACTTTCTTCACTGAAGTTTTAAAGAGATTTTTATAGAGAATCTCCTGGAATCAAATTAATAAAATATTATAAAATTATTTATCATAAAATATTGTTCAAAAGGTGAAAAGCCAGATTATTTACACACACATACCTAATTATGACTATTTTAATTGTACTAAATATGACCAGCTTGAGCATCTTCGCCATCAGAAAAAAAAAACTGACATTATGACAAGTACATGTAAGAAGTAATCAATTACACTTGTGCTATTTTTGTACATATAAGTTACCAAAAGCTATAAATAAGTACAAAATTGTTAATGTAAAAAAAATTCCTAATACTTGTATGTGAATATGAAGAACACGTACCTCATTTTTACCAATAAAAGCATTGGTGATGAGAACTCCTGGCACAACATCCCCCAGTTTGTCCCTGGTGTTAGCTGTAAAACACAAATATTGAAACCATAAATCTTGTTGTGAACCATCAAAAATACATGAAAGAAAGATGGTCGGGTATTTTTCCACCAAATGGTGCCAGACGATCTTTCTATGAAAAATATTGAGCTTTTTGAAAAGCAGAATAATTATACAGCGATAAAGTCTCTAAAGGTACATGTATTGAAACTTTTGAGTAAATTTTTGGTTGTCTCTGATCTTTCTCAGACTAGTAACTGTGATCAGCCATGACTGACACAAACTAACAACAAATAAAATTTTCACAGCTTGTGCCAAAGAACTGCTTATTGTATAATACACATACCACACTTACAAAGCAGTTGTAAGGATTTTTTTTTGTTATGTTCATCATGAAATGAAAGATCTTATCTGTCCTCTGTAAAATCCAAATTATTATCAGTAAAAATGCCTCTAGAATTTGCAAATCATTTATAAATTATTATTGAACATTAAACAAGCATGCCTTGTGTTGAGTACATGTATTATGCAAACACATCTATATAGGATAAATATTATTAATGAAAGAAAGTTTACTTATTTATGCTGCACAGTCATGATTATACTCGTATTGTGTAAATAAGTTAATGCTTTCATTAGTAACATAAACATTATTTATTTAGTGCTATGTATTTGAATAGAATATATTTTAAAGGAAAATTTCAGAAAAATAATAAGCATTGTACCTTTGAGACATACAAAGCACATTAGATCTTTAGGTAGCAAATAAATTTTCTCACTGAAATTTCATCACTTTATTTTACTTTCTACATCAAGGTGTACCATATTCCAAACTGTTCAGAAAATTACAATCTATAAACAAGTCTTGAAGTTATGTTTTCAAAATTTTTGAGTTACTTTCATAATGTAGATATGTCATGGTAAAAAAAGACATTTTCTACTCTAGAACTGGATGTACATCCTAATCATCTCAACAGTTTTGGATAGGACATTCCATGGTGAAATTTCCAGGAATTCCTATTGCTATACAAAGGTCTAACAAGCACTGTATGCATTTTTTTCTTTTCGGTTTTACACAAAATACGGCCCTCAATGCATGAGCATAATATCTAACATGATTTACCAAACCCAACAGCATCAATTGTTCATTTACTGGGAAATTCATCAAACGTAAAATACAACTCTGATTGACACATCTGGCGGTAAACATGAATCGCACGTTAAAACAACTTATATAATTAACCAGCTGTTCTCCGTGAAAATATGTTTTCCTTGCAAATTGATAAAAACTATATGCTCTCAACTCATCAGTGGACTTCATCAAAGGCTAAAATCCTTCTAAGCAAACATCTCCAGGTGCAATATGGAATAATGAGTGTACGTGAATCTACTTAATAAGTGGTTGTTTAAATGAAATGATTTGTCTTCATGTTCAGCCTACACAAAATCAATGACCAAATGAGTAGAGTGGTCTGCTGCTAAAACAATGAGAGAGAGAGAGAGAGAGAGAGAGAGAAAGAGAGAGATTTAAAATACAATCTTAAATAAAAGAAAATCAACATCAATTGCCAAATTTTACACAATCTGTGAGTACATGTTGTAGAAATCCCTAATGATCATTTCCTTTCTTAGCCCTTAAAATCCATTTTAAGATGAAATTGACCAAGCAAACAGTTTTTATATATTCAAATATATTTATCTTATAATATATGTCTAAAAAGAAAATAATGACCAACTCATCACAAAATGTAACATGTAGTGATCAAACAAATGAAGTCATTTATAATAAAAAATAGAATTATCCTGAGGCTCTTCTATGCTAGTAATACCCCCACCCACCAAAAAAATTAATAATAATAATAATAATAACAGCCTGTTATGACAAACACGCATGCATGACCACAAAAACTACAGTGCTTTCAATAACAAAGTCTTAACTGATCCGATATCCAATTACTGTAGCAGCAGCAGCAATCTGACTCCAATCACAGCATAGATTTAACAAAAAAAGCCGTCACAATAAACAAAAACAAACAAACAAACAAACAAACAAACAAAAAAAAACAATATCTCTTAAGCAAAATTCACTTTAAATTAACTGGACATTCAACTCATAGCCTTGTTGACTACGCTGTGGCAAAGGAAAATCCCTGGTGTTGCTTTTTAACCAAGTGCTCAAGTCCTCAAGTGCCTTGGCTGTCAATGAGGCCATTCAGAACAGATGATCCACGAACTAACTGGTCCACCGACTAAATATGGCCGACCGAACTTCAAAGCAGTGCCGCTTAATCCTCTGATGGTCTCCCCACCTCCATACACGCCATTTTACAGATTAAATCTTAGATCCAAGGTTTAACTGCGAGGCTCCTGCAGCGAGGGCACGTGTGGAGTTGGAGACACCATCACGGAATTAGTTGGCACTGCCTTTGAATAAGTCGACCATATTTAGTCAGCAGATCTGTTACTCTGTGGATCAACGTGTTTTGAATGGCCTCAATGTCTTGGTTTCTACGTGCTATCCAATATAATATATTCAGTGGAAAATGTGTTTTAAATGGAACAGCACAAATAAGTCACTTACAAAAGAGACAGGCTGTCAAATGATATCCAACAGGGTGTTTTCAGTTCAAAATGTATCTAAAATATTAGTAAAAACAGAAGGAGTGTAAGTCCACCGTACCTGTCAAAAGTCAAGATGTCTAATTTCCTCAGTATTATGTGGAAATCTTCTATCTCCGCACGGGCATCATCCATTGCCCACATGCGGACATCTTACACCCAGATGTGCATCCTCAATACACAAAGCATCGCAAGGCACATTTCACAGAAACAGGATAGTAGCTCAGCTGACAAAGAGCAGACTGATATGACATGAAACTAGCTCTCATATTCAATGCAATCTGTCTTGATATCTCCGAATTAATATGACAAAACCCTCATGTCATGAATGAGTTGTAGTGGAAGCATATGCCGTGAGCTATATATACCGCAAGATCTAATGACCTGGGATTATCTGCACAGATTACACAATCTCGAGTGATTAGTGTAAAACTGGTACAAACAATAGAAAGACGTTAATTTTCATCATTAATGCACGCTCACCTTGTTCAGCTTCTTCTCACAGATTATGATGCTTAAACTTAACCATCTGCCCAGGAAATTATGTTGGATACAATAACAGGTGTAATATAAATAAACAGACCAGAGACTGTGATCAAGATATATCAACCACTCAACATATTGGCATCAAAAATCATAGGGAAAAAAATTCATGAAAATCTTGCACATATTCCGCATGTCAATCAATTATACTGTGTATATAAGAGAAAATATCTTATACATTATAACAAGCCTATCTTCCACATTTTGAAAAGTTTGTTAAATATACCATGCACTACAATAAAAGAATTAAAATATCATATAAGCTGACATGTATCCGTCTCTGAAAAAAAAAAAAATGCCACCTAAATACCGGGCAAGGAGATATAGCTATCATCTTTGTCATTTATCTCATACCACCAATGACACCCGTAAAACAGTCAATAAATCCTAATAAGGTCTCTCAGTCCCTGTAATTATGAACCAAGCGATTCTATTACCGCAATCATATGAAAAGGCATTGAATTTTTTTTTTCAATATTGCAGTTTCCTGCTGTTCCTTTGTTCTATGTATGACTGACTTCTTCCTGAATTAGCTGACTTTTGTTCCAGGCTAAAACATTTAGATTTCTGGTAATGTATATTTCATGAAGCATGCTAAGCTGATTTGCTAATTCAAGGCTATATTCACACAGTAGTGAACTTGAGTGTACTTGAATCTGTTTGAATCCATTAATCCTGCCAAGAATAAAGTTTTGACTAATTTGGTTCTTTTCTTTATAGTCCAAGTATGATACCCAAGAGTACAACAAGGTAATATTAGGAACATATGGATAATTGTATTAGTTGACATGGGTTGTCAGGATGGATTTTAAAAGGTAAATTAATTGTTGATTTATTTCACAGAATCATAGCAACTGAAAACAAAGGAGAACTTGACAATAAATAAATAAATAAATAAATAAATAAATAAATAAATAAATAAATAAATTGATGTATGAAAACAAATAATTAATGCCTGATAATGTAAAGCACATTTAAAATTAGACCAATAAAGATGTGATCTCTCTGACACAATCTTCCCAAAATGGTCTGCTTTAAATCAGACCCGAAATTGTCTAACGTCACTTCCACTGATCAAAAATGGACTGTGACCTACAAAAAAAAAAATGGACTGTGACCTACAATTAAAACGAACGCTCCTAAGCATTTAGGTCTCTCAATATCCACCTTAAAACCAGTCCATCTTTAAGCTGTTCCGAAAGGCCAAACGACCATGTGTATGCATGAAAAAACGTATAAATCAGCACAGACGGAAATTTAAATCAGAGCCATTGATGAATTATTCATACAGCCCTGATGGAACAGTCGTGTACTGGTAGGCAGAAGCAGCATGTTTTCTCAGTTGTATCAAATCAGTGACTTTCATGCATGTTAAAAAAGAAGCTACAGACGGACACCTTGGTAAAAGATGAAGACCGCATGCTGGAAGACATTGTGTTGTAAATGTGCAGTAAATTTGCAGCAAGGAAGCATTTTACCTTAAATGAGTTGTGCTGCAATTGGATATTTCCCTAAAATTTGCATGCAGCGAAGGGTCCCTTTCAAATTAACACAAGCAATGCAATGGCTTTCACCAATTTGCGAGAAATTTACAACAATATCCACACTGAATAAGTTCTTCATCCTAACAATATTTTGGCTTTCCCTAATGCCTCGATCTTCCCCATAATTATGCTCTATTCCATAATCTCTGAGCCACACAACTCTATATTCAATAATTCTCTAAAGCTCTATCCCATAATATTCTATCGTATAATACTCTAACCCAGGATAACAATCATCAGATCAAGGTCACCTTGGCAACCAGTCAGACCTTGACAGTTTCTGCTCAGTGTGCCATCATTCCAGACAGCTACAATCCCTC